TCTTACAATGAACTGTGGTGCCTTAATCTTGATCCTTCTAGCCTCAGTGGGATCGTCTGGGAGGATCCCATGTCGCAAATAGTCTGCGAGAGGTACAGTCAAATATGGGGCTGTCATGATAACATTGACTTGTTTGTTATCAATGCTTCTTTCTGGGAGAATTTCCACCAGGACCTTCTTGGTTAGCTGATCTAATGATGTCGATGTCAACTTGTTGAGAGTGTCAGCCCTTGGATTTTCTCCCTGGGGGATTTGATTGATTGAGAAGCTCTTGAATGATTGTGCCAACTCTCTTACTGTGTTGAGTTACCTTTTCAACCTTTGATCTTTGGCCTCGTACGTGCCATTAACTTTTTTGGTAATGTGGAGAGAGTCACTGAGGGTTGCAAGGTGTTTTGCTCCAACTTCTTGAGCTAGCCGAAGACCTGCTAGGAGTGCTTCGAATTTGGCCTCGTCATTGGAACTTGAAAGTTGAAACGTAAAGTGTATGTGATTTCATCGCCATTAGGGTTCTTGAGGATTAAGCCTGATCTTGACCCCTCTTTGTTTCTTGCTCCATCAGTGTGCAATTCCTAGATGACCCGACTAGCCTCCATTTCTGAAGGGTCTATTAGGAGGACTATTGGTACATTCTTGAGCATGTCGAGGATATTGAATAGGAATTCTACCAGTGTGTGGTCTTTGATGCTAGTGCATGATTGATAGTCTATGTCATGATCTCCTAGCTCGATTGTCCATTTCTCTAGACGTTCCGAATTTTCTAGCATTAACAATATTTGCTTTATTGGGTAGTCGGTCAAAACCTCGATCTTGTGAGCTAGAAAATAGCATTTGAGTTGCCTTGCTAGGTATATTAATGTGAGTTCCAGCTTCTTTAGGATTACGTAATTAAGCTTGGGACCTTGAATGCTCAGATCACAAAGTGTGGTGGCTATTTTTTCTTGTCTCTCTTAGTGGTTAGCACCGACGATATGGCTTCACCGGATGCTGCCAAGCAAATCTGCAAGGTTTCTCCCGGTAGGGGGATTGCCATGGTCAGGAGTTAGTGTAGGGCATCTTTCAGATAATGTAGAGCTTTTTTGGCCTCCGATGTCCATTTAAATTGGTTTTTATCGATGTATCCTTTCAAATTTTGGAAAAGTGGGAAGGCTTTTTCGGACGACTTGGTGATGAATCTGACAAGTGCTATTATTTTTCCATTGATGTATTACACTTCCTTAAGTTTGTGAGGGTTTTTAGAGTCAAGGAACTCCTGTATTTTGGCCTTATTGGGCAATATTACTTCATTGGTTATCTAATAACCTAGGAATTGGCCTTCCTCTACCCCACAAGTACTTTCCTGGGTTGAGTTTCATTTGTGCCTTTGTTAATGTTTGAAAAGTTTCCTCGATATCGTGGAGAAATGTTGCTTCCTCATGGATTTTGATGACCATATTATCAACATATACCTCGACATTCCTGTCAATTTGGTTGACAAACACTTTTTCCATCAAGTTCTGGTAAGTTTCCCCAACGTTCTTGAGACCGAATAGCATTTTCCAGTAGCAGAAGGTGCCACAATCGATAAAAAAGGTCGTTTACTCCTCATTTTCTCTTTTCATATGGACTTGATGTTAGCCTTTATAGGCATCTAGGAGGCATTTCAACTAGACTCTTTCCAAGTATCCAACCTTTTGATATATCTCTGGGAGGGGTAATGATCCTTTGGGTAATCATTGTTCAAATCAGAGTAGTCAATACACATCCACCATGACCCATCGTGCTTCTTCACCATCACTGGGTTTGCTGTCCATGTAGGAAAATTGCCTTCTTAAGGATGCATACATCTACCAGCTTCGCTACCTCTACGTTGATTTCCCTACATCTACCAGCTTCGCTATCATATCTATAAGTTGCCATGTGAAGACTTTGGAGTGATGCTTCAAGAGGGAATTAGCTTTAGTTTTGCTTCTTCGGATAGGTTGGTACCTGTTGTGATATGTTGTCGGCTTGACATCGTCTATATGATGGAGGGAATGAAGATCCTATGGATCACAACAAAGAAGAAGGGAACATCAGTTGTCTTCCAGGAGGTTGTCCCGGAATGAGTCTCTGACGATCAAGCCATTAAGGGTCTTGGAGGGAGGATTGAAAGCGTAAAGACAGTGCTAAAAGGTTAGAAATATGGTCCCCTCTCTTGGGGGAAGGGTGCCTTTTATACCTGTGGATAGGGGGAACAGATCCTCGATAGTATCTTCTACCTTTTCAGGTTTGGTAGGGACTGATGACTTTTGATTGGTGCATCGTGCTTCATGAGTGGTTGTTCGCTATTCATGCAGACTCTGCCAGAAGTGGCGTCCAGATCACTACACCTGTCACTCTGGGGAACTCTTGGTACTTTTTTGTCTTCAACGTTATCCTTGGCACTTGGGCACCAAGGAATGGATACGGGGTCTCAAACACGAGGGCGAAGGCCCAACATTAGTCATGTATTGCTCCTTGGCCGATCTGTTAGTTGACCTAGTGATTTTGTTATCTTTGACGTATTCTCGGTGGGATACGTCAACAAATCCCCTAGGCTAGTAGACGTCAACATTGGCTTAGGGTAGCTGACTTATTCTATCTTGGATCGGGACGTGTTCAGACGATTTTCATCATTGAAACCATTTGGGCTTCCTACCTGCATTTAAAACTTCTCCATATGAGCCGAACTTCGTTTTCCTAGTTCTTTACGATTTTGCTGCTTCTTTTCCTTTCTTCTCCTATTTGTACTTCTTTGACGAACCATGGATGGATTAAATACCGTGATCGTTCCTTATTCAGGCAAGTTCGCCGCTCTTCAAGAGCGGTTTGGTTTTCTTCCCGAGCACGGCATGGAGTATCCTCAAAAAGGGGCAATAATTTCTCGCCTGCCATAGGGGAAGGTTGGGGTTCCTATTCCGATCTTCGAGGCAATTATGAGGCTGCCAATGATGGATTTCTTTGACGAACAATATGTCAATATGGCTTTCGTGTGGA